GGAAGGAAGGAAGGAAGGAAGGAAGGAAGGAAGGAAGGAAGGAAGGAAGAAAGAAAGAAAGAAAGAAAGAAAGAAAGAAAATAGGGTCTCACTTTGTAGCACAAGCTGGCCCCAGATTTTCTGTGTATCTCAGGCTGTCCTCAAACTTGTCATGAAGAACAAGCAGGCTGCAAAATCCCTAGTGCAAGCATTATAAATTTGTGGCACCACACCTGGATTAGTTTTAGTAGGCTAAAACTACATTGACTCTAACTATGGTTCTCAATCCTCTAATGCTCAAACACTAATCAGTATTAATTTCCGTTAACGTGTTTGCTCAGCTGAGAACTTAATGGGTGCCCTGCATTGTCACCTGTAAAAAAGTATGCACTAGAGAAGTTCCAAAGCAGGGCTGAATACGTAAGTCAACAAATCTCAGGTTAAGGGGGAAAATGAGGAAGGAAGGGTGTTCCACCCTGAGAGGATTCAATGTAGAAAGTTCTAGAAGTGAGAACACTTATACTAAACAAACCCAATATACTCTGAGGTGGGAGGTTGGGAGATGTCAGAAGACCTGTTAGATGCTGGGTCACAGAGAACTCGGCAAGTTTTAAGGAAGAGGGTAATAAGCCATTTAAGTTTTTAAATGGCAGGGTGGCTTTGTAATGTGTCCATTTGGCTGGGTTGAACTGTTTCCCAGCATTCACTTTTTGCTTAGGATTAGTTTTAAGAGATTTTTTTTATGAATGATATGAAAGATGTTATTGAATCTTAATGTGAGTCAGTGGGTGAGCCTGCAACTCTTCTTCCTGTGAGTCCTGAATCGTTTCCAACTCCTGCAAAGGTATGCTTTTGGCTTCATGACACTAGCTTCTGCCCATGCCATCAAAATAAAGAACAGGAACTTGCCACCGTTTCCGTTCCTCATATTTGTGGGTCATGGTTGGCTATTGGAACTTACAGTTGTCTTCCGTTCCCTGCACCTGCTCTGTGTTTCCAACTCCAGCACCAGAAGGTCACAGCAACATTTCAGAAGACACTTAAGCAGTTCTTGAAGTTGTGTGACGCCTGATCCATATAAGAAGCACTCTTATATACCTCTGTGGCTTTGTTTCTCAGGTTGAACCTTGACTGATACAAGAGGAAAAGATGTTATAGTGTGAATGCCGTTACACTGTTTATCTTAGAAATCTCAGTGGCTGTTGAGATAGGAGCTAACCCCAGGAAGCTTGAGTCCCTTAAGGGAATAGAGCCCGAAGGGTGTTGGAAACGTAAGCAGGATATGGTGACTCTTTTGTGTTCCAGAGTACATCAACAGTGCTTTTCAAAATGAACTCTAAGACATTGCCATACAACCTGTTTTTAGTGTAGTTACATGAGTTTTGATAAACATGCATACATATCTAAATGCTGCTTCAGTCAAAATGAACAATTCCATCACAATTAAAATTGCTTTGTGACCTGTTACAAGAAGGTGCCCTGGGGTTGTTCTGTTATGCCATGCCCACTCTATAAGACAGAAAAGCACCCTGTCTTTGTTCAAACTGACCAATACTGAATTAGAAGAGGAAGACCCCTGAAGTCCCATAAAGCCTCTAGCCCTTGAGGAAAGACTGGATTTTCAGATTCCCAAATCCACCCCTTGCTTTGCAAAGGGTTCTTTCTCTCTGTGCTTGCTGTGTGTGCAAGCATTTCCTCACTCCTCATGAAAGCCTTTCTTCATCAGCTGATTTTGTCTGTGTTTGAAAACTCTCCCTTCTGCTGTGTGTCATGCTCAAAAATTTCCCCTTTAATTCTTTAACTGGTGACGAAAACTCAATCAAAACCCTTAGATGGTAACATCAGTCACTTCAGCCATCATCCTGGCAGGCGTTGGTGGCCCCCCTGGGGCTGTAACCCAAGTTTTCACTCCTAAGTCATGTGAGTCATTGGTGATTGTCCTCTATCTTTTTCATGCACATGAGGGCCAGAGTTTAGATTCCCAGCATCCATGCAGATGTCAGGTAACTGTGGCCTGCCTGTAATTCTAACTTGGTCACAAGCACTTCCATCTGAGACCCTTGCCTACTCGGTTCTTTCTGAGTGTTTATTGGTCACAGGTACTGGACCTTTTTGAGAGTTCTGAAGTTCTTAGCCTTGTGTATGTGTCACAAGACACTGGAATTCACACATGAGGTCATATCACAAGCTATGCAAGTGGGCCACTTGGGTATTGTTGGGTTCATTTTCACCAGTTTTGTTAGCCACATGTATTTTGTGTGAGCTTCAAAATAGCTAGTGAGTAAGGCTGGTTAGTGTGAATTGGCCGTCATTTGCCTCTTGTGCAGGTGCTTTTGGTGAGTATGGATGTGACTCAGATGGCTTCACTCTTAATATGGTGTCTACATGTCCACTCACGAACCTCTAATCAAAATACTCCTCTTGTTCCAGTCCATGCTTTCTAGACTCTTAACCCAAAGCCGGGACGTCTTTATACATTTTCAGTTTGGAGGCTCCTGCTGCCAAAGTGTGGTGGTTTAAATGAGAAATGTGCTTCGTGGGTCCATGCATTTGAACACCTGATCTCCAGTAGGCGATGCTGT